CAGGCGCGAGGTAGTTGCAGGGGAGAGTGCGCAACTAGGGATGATGAAAAGTTTGACCGGACGCAGCGGGCACAATGCATCGCGGACCGTCCTACCGCCCCCGACCAACCACCCTATAATCCACCCGCATTGTACCACCAATCAATATTGTTTTATATACCGTAAGTTATGAGACGAGGCTGGTCACGACCGCTTGACAACTCTTTATTTCATTCTTCATTTATATATCTCTCCCTCTTTCTTCTCCTTCACCCTCTTTCTTAACCTTTCTCTCTATTAAATCAACTCTAATCGTTTTTACTTTATGTAAACATCCTGCTTTATGATGATATTTTTATATTTATCCAATTCTCGCGTTTCTCCATCATTCAAGACACATGTGTATTAGTGCGATTGTCGTTGTTGAACATCCGCTGTCATCTTTAGTCTTTCCTCCGCGACTGTTTTAACAAAGAAAAGATCTCGGCTACCATTGAAATATTCTACGGAGGTTGGAGATAACGAATTATCTTTGCGAGCACACTCTTCTTGGACAGGAACCGGAAATCGCTCAACGAGATATGCCATATCTCACAAGTCTCTTTGAAATATATATACATATATATTTTCTCTTCCAATTGTATATGTTTATTAAAGTACGAGACGAAGAAAATCATCTACAGAGTCATGTTTCCATGTACAGAGTATTCCCGAGAAAAATACAATGACACAACTTATCCTTGTATCGCAACAATAGACTTATCGGGCCGTGGAATTTTCGTTTTTATTTTCAGTTTCTTTTTTTCATTTACTCAGCAGGAAAAAGTACTAGCATTTAACAAGCACATAGTTGGCATCCTAACGTTTATATGAATAATTGTTCTTGACGAACGAAATGAATTGTTACGTGAATCGAGTACGATAGCAACGATGAAGGAGGTGGTCAGTGTGAACAACAACAACAATAAATCCTATATATACACAAAGATGATACGTAATAATTATTATAATAACAATAATAATTTTAATAATTTGATTATTATATCAACAGAATTGTACTCACGTGTTCCATGCCAATATCTACTATCGCATACTTAGATGACATACATGCATGTGACGTAATCAAATTTTCTATGTACTTTTTGATAACGTCATTTGATAAGTCACAATCATCTTTATCAATTCTAATCAATCTTTTATAATTTATTTTATATTTCTACCGAGAATTCATATTATTGCAATTTTGTCATTTTCTATCACATACATTATCATAAGTTATGCATGCAACTGAAATCAATAAGCTGACCTTTTTGGATTTACTTTTAATTTTCAAACATTTTTTTTCTTAATCTTGCAAATTAAAAAATTCAATTCAAAATTTTTATAAATTATTATTCGCAAAGAGACAGTAGAATTGATACTTCACTCATGAATGTCAAACATGAAGATATGCTTTGTGAAGAAAAAAAATGTCTGTGACAATTTTACCGAGTGTGAATGGACTGTTTAGATTTTTTACTGCTCATTCAATCACGAAGGTAATTATTTTTATTACACGGGAGTAATTGCTGCCTAAATACTTGTATGGAAACATTACAATTCATTGAACAACTAGACAACAAATGCTAACACGTGTTTAATAGCATATCATCACAGAGAGAAAAGCTACATGTTTTCACTTAAGCGGTTTCAACCGTAAAAGCTCTCATCAAACTAGACAAGTGTTGGACTCTAGTTTATTTATCCTTAAAATTTTTTTTCTGCAAATTAACAATCAATAAAAACATATTTGATAAAGCTAAACTCTGTTCTAGTGGAAAAAAACCTGTGCTGTAGTCTCTGCTGACAAGCTGTCATTTTGTCTCGGTGGACATGAAATAGCTAAGCACACCTGATTCAACTATAATAAGATGACATTCTTCTTTCGACCTCGCGTGATACCTCCATGGTCATTATGATTGCGTTTCCATTGATTTTATATACATAGGAGGAGACATCCTGTGATTAAACAAATCTCTCGGAAAACAGTGATTCTTTATTTGCAGACCAGTCACTGACGAGCAACAATCGACGAGAATCCAATCGCTGGGAGCAACTCGCAATACCGAAGATCCGGTATGTCCACAATGAATGAGAAATTCTCGATTGTTCCGGAAGAACATCGACGATCAAGCTCAAACTATTGTAGACGCGCCATCGTTGCCGCCATTCGTGTCTCTGATCTCCACCATTTCGTTACGGATACGTGGCCTCGTGTTTCATCTATCTACTCTACACCTATATGTTTTTATCGTTACTTCATCATGCACTCTTGTTGTTATTTATTCATCGTGACAGCGCTATGGACTTGGTGATGCTACTACCATCCGGACTACGACTTTCTACCGGAAGATTAATCAACGAACATCTAGAGTACATCAAAAGAGAAAACATTTAGGATCGACATTATGTCTTGTCGTTGATCAACCAAAGTATTGGAATTTATTTGTGCATTATCATTTCAATGAAACAATAAATTGTAATTGACTTATTGGTCAACGGTCTAAGAAAAATGTAAATGAACAGATAGTTACAAATTATCATGATAATGACACATGTCAAAACGTAAAAATAAGCATAACTTCTTTGCTAATAATGGTACAAGGTTGATTGAGAGCTCATATTGAAGATCTCGATGAGAGGGAAAAAATCGATATAGTTAAAATCATAATTGTAGCATAATTCGTGCTAAAACTAAAGCAAGTTCCCGAGGTCCAAAGTCGGAGTAGGGTTGGAAAATCGTCTGCTCTTTAACTTTGGACCTCTATAATTCCCATCCAAATGATCTAATAATGATTTTAAGGAGGCGTGTGGAAACTTCAAAATCTAAGCTACAGATACATATCCATGAAAAACGTTTAAAAAATTTCTTTTACCCTCAAAATTGCCGAAATAGTTGACAAACTCCCAAAAAAATGTGATATTTTTTTATATTTTAGCGATTTTAAGGGTGAAAGAAATTTTTTAAACACTTTTTATGGATATGCTTGCTTAGCTTAGATTCTAAGCTTTTTAAAACGTCCCTAAAAACAGTTATTGGACTGTCCGTTTATGAGTTATAGGGGTTTAAAGTCAAGGGGATGATGATTTTTAGTGTGTATCCAGTTTTACCCCTATTTGAGGGTGTTAAAGTAAATTTTCTTGAGCTGTGCCCCGATTCCGTATTTCTACGCATTAAGACGAAGAGAATGAGTGGTCAAACTTGAAAATCGGAGTACCTTTATTTTTTGGCCTAAAAAAATGGAAAGGGGTACTTGCCATTTTTTGGGGTCGAAAAATCAAAGTTGTCCGATTTGGATGATCGAGGACTTATTCTCTTCGTCTTGATACGTAGAAATACGGAATCGGGTCAAACATATAAAAAATCAATTTTTTCACTCCTAAAATGGGGTAAAACAGGAACTTGCTTTAGTTTTAGCACGAATTATGCTACAATTATGATTTTAACTATATCGATTTTTTCCCTCTCATCAAGATCTTCAATATGAGTCCTCAATCAACCCTGTAGCATTATTAGCAAAGAAGTTATGCTTATTTTTGTGTTTTACAGTTTTTCGCCAATATATCATTACTTCATAAATTTTATTATAGATATTGTTTTTGCAATTAAAAAACATTTAAAGTACGTTTGAAGTAGAGAGAATAAATTTTCAAAAAAAAAAAAATTTTACTGTCTAAACGTTCCCCATAGTCCCACCAGGGGAACGTCGGGGAACTTCCTCACCTGGGAACATTCTGGGAACCTTTGTGGAACTATATTTTTTTATACGGGAAATCATATGAATAGTAGTGACGACAAATATAATATATGTAGTGAAACAATTAAACAAGATGAAAAAAAATTCGTGAAGAAAGAAACGATCAGAAGTGATGAAGAGAGAAAAAATCTTGCATGATAATGTGCTCTAACCTCCGGGTGAGTAATACGATGTCGGGAAAAGAAAAAGGAAAAATGGCACGAGAGGAGGTGGGTTCTTACTTTGCATTCCTTTGTGTATATCTTCTGGTGCTTTACCCCTATCTCCCTCCTCTTGATGCTTGAACTAACGCCCGAGGTTTTAATGCACTTGTCTCCTTCAGATGCGGTTATAAAGACATGCATGGATATTCTGTCGTTACGGACAGACTCTTGGATGAGAAAGAGACAACTTCAATGTGGTTTACAAGGAATTAAAGTGGAGAAATCGAAATGGAGAAACGTTTCTCCCAGGCTAAAGTATAACGAGGACGAAATGCATTTTTAATTTTAAAATATCTTTTTCTGCTTCCTTTCTCTTTCTCACTTGTCTAGTTCCTATTCCCTTTTTCTCACTTCCTCTCTCCAACGACTCTTTTTTTGCATTGCTTTTGTAATGCCCTGAGCAGAAAAGAATCAAACGAATATCTCCGGTGGAAAGTCTTGATGGATATCTCGGCCTCCTTTTCCACACTAACGTTTCTACGAGATGGTCCTTCATTTACCAACTCCCTTTAGATTTGATATTGTTGACTATCCAATAACGATTCTTTGACTTTTCTCGAGAGATTGTTCAAGATCATTAATGATGTATTTTCAATATTTCTATTTTTCCACCCCCGAATAATTAATCACTCTTCCGATAAAAAAAGTTTATCAATATTCAATATGTATTTGAACATTTATATTATTTATTCCTGTATTTAATATTTACAAAGTGATTGAATTAACCGATTAAAAATGTATTATTCAACTGCAGTATTTAATAATCCAACAATAAGTAAAATGGACCTTCGTTCTCTTTTTCAACCCCATTCGAAAACTGCGCTATCTGCCGCCAAGTGGCGGAACCTTGCAGGACGAGGTCCACCGGTAGACTCTGACCGTCTCCTTCCTTTCCCGCGCCATGTCCCCCAACGACTATGCAATCAATTCTCAGTGTCTGTTTAGGTATCGTTGATTTACGCAACGATGGAAGTGTAAGATAAAACTATGTATTTATGGAAATTTTAGTCATCAGACTTACCTCTTTTGTCCTGGCACCCGCACACCAGCCGATGTTTCGTTAGGGCATCATGCGTCAACCTAGAACATTAAAAATATTTTCCAGCTAGACAATAACATATCGCTTGTATTTTTATATGCCTATTTATATAATTTATTCGCTATTTTTTCTTTTTATTCAAATTTAAGTTACAACCAAAGATAATTTAAAATAGCAGATAAATCCTCAGATGGTTGAATTGGAATACTAAATTACTCGGTTGTCTTTACTATCTTCATGAAAATTGATTCATCAGATAAGAAGAGTTTATTCGCAATAAAATTTTTTTATCGAAGGATCTGTAAACAAATGACGGAAAAATGAAGTACGCTTGAGTGCTCATGAAAACCGGTTAAAAAATAAAGACATAAACGATGATGTTTTTACTCGAGTCATTGAATGTATGTGAGGTGAGATGACAGAAAGAAGCAAAGAAGAAAAGCACACGTGAACGAGGTGTAAGTAAAATAAAGAACTTGCTTCAGTAAAAACTACCCTCTAAAAAAGAAGACAAGAGACGCTTGGGCGTTTCATTTACCCTGAAGGTGAGAGGCCGCAGATTTAAAAGTTCTTCCTCGAGATGTAATTAGCACGTCTTTACACAACAGACAAAACAATATCCCTCGTAATTAGTATGCATTCGCACACCAACGTTGGGCAACTCTTCTCTCTCTCTCTCTCTCTGTCTTTTATTCCCTCACCCCCTCTGTCTTTTCCTCCAGTATTCTGTATACCACCCTTTAGACAAACTTGCTTCTCTCTCTTTACATTATCGTCGTTGGTCCTCACTTTCTTTTACTTCACCCTAACGAAGCGTTTACGCGCAACCTCAGCCGTTACATTCCGGATACGTACTCTTCTTTTTCCGAGCTTTCTTCCCCGTTATATATCTCTGTACTCTGAATCTTGTTTTATTAGCCTTCCTTGAGACAATGCATCCCCTTATTCTTTGTTTGTCATTCTTCTTTTATGCATATCTTTTTTTATCAATTCAATGTTTTACTTCAAGACTAACTTCAATGAAGTATAAACTTCACACCTTACGCCAACTTCCTATTATATTATTTCTGTCATATTAATAATTTTAAAAGAAATCATTTTCTTCAGAGATTTTTCCCTTGTTTTCCTTAAGATTGATCTATATCACTTGAAAATGATTATCGTTTTTAAATAATGTCATTTGGATAAACAGTTAGAGATTTGAATCAAAAATAATGACAGAAGTAATATTTTTTCCCTTTGTATACTTTCTACTCTTACATTTATTATAGAACTTGGCATGTACTCAAAACCCCAATGATACGTTTCTCGTTATGTTCGTGCTGCAATTGCCGTGCGAGCACGTTCATTTGGTGTAGTTAAGATGGTTAAGGGTTAAAGAGTCACAGGAACGCGTTGCCTAAGCTATTCCCACACACTTAGAGCCTTTAATTTTACGATTATCTCTCTGTTGTGTTATGTTTGTTTCGTAATATCCACACTGTTTGGATATCTTTTTTTTTCTTTTACTAAATGAACATTTACGGCTGGTCTGTTTAAATAATTGTCGTCAAAATATTTTGAAAATTTAATCGATTAATTAAAAATGAGATAATGTATATGTTGTTATCGAAATCTGGCGGATGCGATGAAATTCTATTCAACAGACAATGTAGGTCAATGTCGTGAATACAAATATCTGGGTACTATCGAGTATATTGTAAAATTGCGGTGGAAAGGGAAAGGGGCGATGAACTCGCGTATAATGAGTCAGGATCCGTTGTTCACAGGATGCAGCGAATAGTAGTGGGGTGAAGCTATGAATGTATGATTATCACATGTATATACTTGCAGGAATCGACATAACATTGCGATTGATAAATTTTTTATTTTATCAGAATGTTGAAATTATGGAGAAGAACATTATTTATGCTAATTAGTGATACTTTTCACAAGGAGCATCGAAAAAATATTTGTTTAATTTAATAAATAACTTGAATTAAAATAATAACAATTGATATTAACATTAAACAAGTGATGATTAGTTAATTAAATCTTGAAATAAATATCCTTAAGATCGATTAAAATTTTTTCAAATTAATTAAAAATAGATTAAGTACATTGAGTCTTAAAATGAAAAACATTAATTAACTTTTATTTTTGAAATGAAATTGGGAGTAATTACTTTGAACGTCCAAATTCCTTAAATGGCAAATAATATACTGAATGGTTCTAAATATTCCAAGTCTTAGTGAACAATATTGAGGGTCTTAAAGTGTATACAACATCAATTTGAGTAATATTTAGTTGAACTGACTCTAATTGCTTCGTGATAGTTTGTAATTGATCGATAAGAAAAACGGAACTTGGTGTAGAACGGGAAGCGACTTGCAGAAATATAATGAGAATTTAGAGGATTAATGACAGAAGATTTATCTCGAATTGTGGAGGGAAGATTCGAACCCGAGAGAAGCTTATGCGGGAAACCTCAACGACGATTGCATGGGTCGAAACTTTCTCATCCATGTCTGTAAGCCGTCGGTTAAGACGTCACGGCACGGACGTCCAAAACTTGAGAGATCCCTGACATAACTGCCGTGCCATTTGGGAACGCCTGCGATTCTCACTCCGTGCACTTGCCAAGATATAACGCCTTTAATAACCTCAGCAAACTCACCCTTTGGACAAGTCTAGAGTCATTTGGAAGTACGCCCAAACGTGTGTGTACCCCATTAAAGAGAGATGGTTTGGAAGTAATTTTAAAAATTACCATATTAAGGTAATTTTAGTTAACTTCTTCCTATCTACTTTTTAACTTTGTCTTTTCGCACTTTTATTTCAAACTAACTTTGATGTCATACAATTTTACACCACATGAAACAGAATACATTCCGAAGTGAATTATAAAGTTATAAGTTAAAGCTTGAGTACGCAATCCGTCACCCTAAAATGTCGGATTGAATAGAAGAGATGAAAACTTTGAAATCCCCACCATTTCCTATTTATCTCTCGGGACTGTCTGGAGAAATACGTAATCACAAGATTCTATTATGATCCTTGAATCCTTCAAACTCACTCACGCCTACCAATGTGTGTGCACACAACCTTTCTAATCCTTCTCAAAATTTCATGTCATTTCCGCGGTAAATTGGTTGAAAACAATCACGCTCGAAATCAATATGACTATTATCCTTTAAATAACTTCACTCTATTTTTGATTTCATTTATCACTTTAGTTGATTTATTCTTTCAAACTATTTCATTTCTTTTCAAAACTTTTTTTCCCACGATACTTTGAGATTGATAAGAGTTATTTCGGACTATAATAAAATAGATAATCAAATCTTTTACAAACAATTTATTCTATAGATAAAAAAAGATTTCATTCTTTCACGAACAATATTCCCTTCAGATAATTATCTTCACTCCTTATTTAAGTGCTAAAATAAATATTGAGTAAGTGTAGAGGTGATAAGTTACCCTATATGATTAAATAAAAAATTCGTAATAAATTCAATTGCTGCATGTAAGAGCTATGCAATTCCCATCAGAGACAGCTGTTGATAACGTTCATCAACAAAGTTATGAAAGAGTAGAAAAATAGTGTAAATATAAATACCAGCTGTCTTAATATTGTATCTTAATATTTAAAATTTTTATTTTTTAAGTGTAATAAAGAAAAGATGTGTGAGGGTAATTTAAAAAAAAAAGTACACAAAACAGCAAAATAATAAAATTATATTTCATAAATGAGTATGTTATAAATAACCTAAAAATAACAAATATATAACATAATGAAGTGTGAAATAAGCTTGCATATATTAATATCAAATGCCAATAATAAAGCAGACAAATCAAATGAGTGTAAACTTTCAATTAAATATATTAATCAAATATTGCAGAAAAACGATGCGTTATTTGTTGTGACTTTCGACTATTGAATTATAAAATATAATTTCGCGGTCACAGTCAATCATATCATTGATACATACACACATTCACATGATTATTTAATAATATATTAACTGTATAAACAAACACTTGATATAAAAAGAAAATTATTTAATGTATAGCCAAATTAATGAATAATTGTATTTTGAAATTCAAATCACTTTTGAAAATAAATCATTCGAGTAACGATAAAATAAATAAAAATAAATGATGATTATAATAAATACATAATTAAGCACACATACATTAATAATACTGAATAATTGGTTTATTTGTTTATCCTTTTGATAACGATTTAGTATAATTGTTCATTCGAAGTTCACCCTTCACTCTTACAGAACCTCATCGCGACGGTCACTTCCGGCAACTGTGAGGGAATCAGTCGTGCGACTCAACGAGAAGTGTCTTTCCCTCGGCCTTGAGCACGCGCGCGATACCGGCACCTTACAGAGCATCCCCTATAAGAACCTCCTTTCTCTACGGTCACTACACGATTAATCAGACACCCTCGTAGACTAGTCCTTAATATCTTTCTCTCTCTCCCTTTCTCACACGCTTATTCTCTCAAGCACGCTCTCTCACTCTCTTTCTATCCCTTGGGTGGTCGTTCCTTGGTGAATCTTTCGCTACTAGTGTATCAATTGAACCGCACTGGTTTGTACACCCTTTACTACTCCACTAATTCTCGATAACTTCTCACCTTCTTCTCAAGTACGTGGTGTATAAATAAATCCTCCAATACACTCGAAGGTAGGTTGTAATTTGGCGGAGTCAACTCGCTTGTGTCACTTGTTAATTAATAATGATGTAACTTAATAGTTGTAACTATAAATGGATTAGATGGTTATCCATTTCACACAAATATACAACACACGTGCACTCGAGAGTCCAAGAGTACACTGGCCGGTGTCTGTTATGGTTGTATTGACATAGTTGCCACTAGTATACTCGTATGTGTTTCCGCGCGACGTTCGGGTGTGCGTCTGTATGTAAAGATGAGGGGATCGGGGTGGCGGAGAGTGGGGGGAAGGCGCGTGTAGCGGTGGTTATATTACAAGGAACGCGTCTTAAGTGATTTCGGCTTAGCTGGTCAGCCAGCAGCTCCGTATGATGAGGCCGCCGCTTTGCTACTGACAGACCTAAAGACCACCCTAACCCTGCAGTCGGGGACGCCCCCACCTCCGAAAGCCTCTGCTGGCCGCGGAGCAACCCTTAGCACAATGCCACCTCCACGGCGGCAGCGCAAACGCACTCTCACTCCGAGGGTAGTTCTTATCCCCTCCAGCTTCCAGGAGGAGCAGTTCAACCCCTCCAGCCACCCTGTTACGTCCACCACTATCACAACCCGGACGACATCCTGCCCCTCCGATTTCTCCTTCGCCAACTACCCTCTCTCTACAGACGTGAGTGCAATCAACCCCTTCTTTGCTAATTCCTTCTCCTCCGGCCGTTCTTCTCCCTCGTCTTAAGATAAAAACACGAACAACCGGGTTTTACAGTTAACCCACTCGCCCTTCGACTTGTTTTCTATCCCCACCGACAACTCAAGAACATCCCTTACCCCTTTCAATCAACTGGACCCTTCGACGCTTTGCTCCCTCTTATTTTTCCTATAACTCTTCTATTCCTTCTTCTCTTTTCTATCATCCCCTCCGTCTCTGATCAACCTCGATTCACTATTTATTTCGAAACAACCTTCAAACCTGTTTTTATTTATGTTGCTTTTTTTCATCTGCTACCCCCCTTTTTTCGTTCTACCAATACATTGTTGGATCAAACTATCAGTCGAACCACTTCTCCCACCGCTAGTATATTACTCGTTTGTATACAACTATCGCTGAGACATGAAAGCATGTACTTTTTCAGTTTTTCACGTGGCGTTCACTTCTATCAATGAGCATTGACATTGTCAATTTTATCAAAAGATACTCTATGTAATTTCGTCATAATAATTGGCACATTTATTTCACACATTACGGTTTACATAAATTTTAAATTTTTATGAGTCAATAGAATCAATGAATGTTTAAATTACTGTAATTTAGAATAATCATCATAACAATAAAGGGAAAAGTGACACAGTTTGCTCCATTGCCCGTGTTAAATTACATTTATAATTTGATAAACTATAGTAAATACAGTTATGTATCAAATTTAACGCGAAACTTCATAAATTCAATCGACATTATTTAAACTCAATGAGTGAATAAATCTGTATAATGAACTTTTAATCGTTGGTGATTTTATTTTAATGATATTTTCATACTACTTGTTCACAATTTTCTCCTATCAATGTCATATTGGTTATATTTCTTCAAATCATTCTAAAAATAATCTGTACTTATTATATTTCAAGTCTGCATTTCTATTGTTAAATTATCTGATCAACTACTAGCAATCATCTTCACTGCTCCGTGATATCTCGTACAGAGTATCATTTAAACTGATTTTCTAATCTCACTGATTCATCCATCACTATACTTATTTGGATTTGCCATCGTAAGAGACCTCTTGAAAGACATCAAGTCTTGACTTCTTTCAAATGAACCTCATTTCAACGAATAAAAACTTGACATTATGGTCTTAAAATTGAAAATAATAAAATGATGAAAAATTTCTTATCAATTCATCCTTCAACAATTAAGAAAAAATAAAAAAAGTTTCAATAATAGAATTCAATTGATACTTTTTCACACTTGGATGGCTTTCAATCTGTCTCTCACGAGTGATAGCGAATAACCCCACCACTTCACTGTGTTCACTTACAGTTTTTTCCTGAAATCGGTATCCCCACTTTATTGGCAATTGTTTCTGATACGATTGTAATTATTATTAGCTGTTTATATATTTGACCATTGATTACTAGTGACCACGTTGTTGTACATCAACTACTAGTTCTTTCTCTCTCTTTTTGTATCTCTGTATTGTAGACTCTAGCTTTGCATTCACGTTACACTTTTATTCTCTAACACAACTGGTAGTCATACAACTTTTATCCCTCATAGTTAACCAGTTTGACTAGTGCGACAAACCGTTTCTATATTACTTGTCCTGTGTCCAGTCAGTTTAAGGCTTAGTGTCGTTATGAGAATACTGTTTTTTTGCTCACAGATTTGTATTTTTCGTCAACTGAAATTTATTTGAAACATTTTTTTACTGTTTAACTAGTCACTGTTTCAATCATGATAAATTTTAAGTCAATTCCAAATTACAATTGTTCAATTGACAAGTCTAGGATTTTTTAAATTAAATTTAAGTTCAACACAAAATTTTTTATTAAACTAATTATAATATTATTTTCAGAAATGTTTATTTTAATTTTCTAAGAAAGTTTTTTTTATGTAAATTAAAATTCATTGTGATTTTTAATAAAAGTGAAAGAATGGTTAATAAAATTGTCAGCAATATTAGTGAATTAATTGGTTTAAAAGTTAATTAAATTATAGGAGTAATACACGAGTTGAAGTGTTTGCCGACGGACGAGAACACATGGGTCTTCAAGTCTGACCATTACGTGGCTGAGCTCCTTCAGCGTTGCCTCTTATGGCTATCAATACTTTTGAAAATATATTTTTAAGAGAAAATAATTGATTGTTTTGAGTTTATTATTATTCATTCGTTGCATAATTATTTAAAATGTATGTAAAACAAGAATAGTTTAATTAATAATACACGTTAAATCATTAAAATTGCATAGTGGTTTATTTATTTGGTTATCATTGTGAGTTGTCGAAGTTGTGAGAATAATGAATGATAAACTATATAAAATTGTTATTGATTCTGATTGGAACCGGTCATATCAATGAATTTTAATTAAATTTATTGTTAATTGTATATACATCTTTAGTAAAAGCGTAGTTAATATTTTATTTCACGACACGACAAAATTATCCGATTAATTTATCCGTGGCTGATTTAAAAGTACATCAACAGGTTACCCAAATTTGTTACGTATCAATTTTATTTGTATTTGCACTAGTCGTTCGTTTGTTATTTACCGCAAATCACAGTCACATATAGAATTTTAATTGAATCTATGAACTCGTAATACGACTGAACTTGGTCATTTTTTCCTCTTACTCTAAACGTGTAAATAAATAATTGTCTTGAATTGTTCTCACGTCACTATGAAAAAACATAACCACTGCACTTGCTTAGGAATAATATTATGAGTCAACTTGTGATTTCATAACTGTCAAAATGAAAACATTTTATCCAAGGTTGTGGTCACAATCACCGAGCACACATTTCCACAACTTCTATCACTATTGAGGAATCCATTCACCTTGAGATATTACGTTTTATTTTATTCAAATGACTCTTCCTCGAATACATACAAAATCATGAACAGGAATTTTTTGTTTGTTTGTTTGAAAATATCATGAAAACATTAGTAAAAAAATAATTTTAATCCCGCTTTACTCACCTTCATGTCACGAAATTTTCCTCATTGCACGTTTGATGAAGAAGAGAGTAATTGTCCTTGAAACCCTCAAAGAAGATGACCACAAAAAAGAAGTTCAACAAACACACAATAAACTTTTACAACTAATGCTGTTTATCCAGTCTGTAAATTTGGTTTTTTCAATACATGAATAATATTCCCCCTAGTTTTCCCACGATTCACGGGTTTAAGACGCTCGTCAGGCTCATTTGAGCCTCGTGCGTCGTTTTACGGGAGCGTGTTGTGTCACGCGAACTTGCGGGCTTGCGGGCGCACTGGCGACCGGTCGCGTAGGCGGAGGAGATTACGGATGCTGTAGTCAGACCACGCGCCAGTCAGCAGCTGGTGGCTCTCTAGTCCGTACAGTGGCGCCCCTGGAGCATTTCGTCGCAAGCTCGCAAGTTGCAAGAGACACGATAGACAAGGGGATACAAGGGTGGTCTGAGGAACGCGTGTTTAGTGGACTTTGTCTCTCTCAAGCGCAAGAACCAACGAGAAAGGAGTGACGGACAACGACGTACTGAAGCTAAGTACAAAAGACAAAGATAGAACGAATAAGCGCTTGAAGCTTGCGACGATACTACGTCAGAAGTGGGGACGAGAAGGTTGGTGCGCCTCAACGCTTTGCCAGTGGGGAGACCTTATAAAAGAGATAGAGAAAGCGATATGGGATTATTCTGTAGGTCGGACGAAGATAAAGAGATTTATATCGCAAGTCTCAGATTCAATGAGAGCAAGGAGACGCGAGCTTTTGCCGTTTCTATGTGAAGGATAGAGACGAAGAATACTGTTCCAAGGAGTACAAGAGAGGTGGTCAGTGCTTTTTGACTGGAGAGTCTTGATGACTACCTGACATGAGTGCGAGAGAGATGTAACCATGAATACCACGAAGAACCCTCTACTTTGTCGACGAGGGATTTGCTGACGTGTATGTATACTCTCGTATGTGAGATGTGACAAGGATACCCTCACTACTCGACCGCGTGGTGGTTTATATTCAAGTATATCAGTGAGCTTTCTAAGCATTAGAGGAGAAAGACATCTCTGAACGTAAGTGGGGAGGAGGAAATTCTACTACCAAGTTTGTGGCTGTACGATCAAACGCATTCTCTACACTAAGCTTTCTTTTTTTTTCTTTTTATCCTCATACGTAAAGAATATAAACAATGAATTTTTTTTATTTCTTTTCGTTCTTATCTAAACACAATATATAAACATGTTTTTCAAGATAAATACTTTCTTTATGAATCAAGTAATTAATAACTTTTAAATAATAAGAAGTTAGATTTTATAATAATAACAGTTGCTACTACTGTGAAGAATTTACATGAGCGGAGGGATGATAATTTTTTTTTTTAATGAAATATGGAAAAAAAGTTTTTTCTCATGAATGAAATTTTTTTTCAGACGTTTTATAATTATCACATATAAAAAACCTTGAGTTTTATATAACCCAAATACGGTTCATTGCATGTCTTTGGTCATGCGCTAAAATCGAACTGAAAAGGTGGTTTACCCCTTACTTTGCAAAACAAGAACCACTGCAACTAAATATGAGAGTGTATTAGTGTGGTGAGTGCGAGAGAAGATCCCAACTTATGCTTGTAGTAGTAAGGGTTGCGCTCGGTTGTGTTAGTGCCCCAAAGAAAAATTACCCCCTCAAAGTGGGGAGTATCTGTGTGTTTTAAGGGGTTGATGTT